CAGGAGGACAGGGCCAGACTCTTTCCAGTGGTGCCCAGCGACAGGACAAGGGGCAACGGGCACAAACTGAAGCAGAGGAAGCTCCAGCTGAACCCGAGGAAGAACTTCTTCCCTCTGAGGGTGACGGAGCCCTGGCCCAGGCTGCCCAGAGGGGCTGGGGAGTCTCCTTCTCTGGAGATATTCCAGCCCCGCCTGGCCGCGGTGCTGTGCAGCCTGCTGTGGGTGACCCTGCTTGGGCAGGAGGTTGGGCTGGGTGACCCCCAGAGGTCCCCTCCAACCCCACCATTCTGTCATTCTGTGTGTGATTCTGTAAGCAACCAGGAGAGTATCAGTGTAGCAGAAGTGTCACCATGCACGTTTACTCCTTCTGCACCACTGACACCAGCCAGGGAATGAATTCCAATAAAGCTCACCACACTTTCATTAAACCCACTTCCAGTCCCGTTTGCTACCGGCTGAGCTGGCCGTGACTTCCTCACTGGGTGTCCTCGTCCCAGTACAAGGGCTCACAGACGGCTGCTCAGAAAACAGAACTTGTGTTGCCACAGCTCAAGAAGCAGCAAAGCCGGCAAATAAAACCCACGGAGGCGGAGAGGCTGAAGGCGAAAGGGCACCTACCTTCGTCTTCTTCTCGGGGCTGGGAGGAAGCTCTTTGTTGGGAGGTGCCGTGATGTCGTTCCCTGTCACAGCTTCAGCTGCCTTGGGCTCTTCTGGTTTTGCTGGGGGGGAAATAAAAGGGAACAGAGACTTGGTAAGTTTGAGCTTTTTTTTTTTAACATTTAGGTTTTTTTGAGCTTATTATTATTCAACACAGTAGCAGCAGGAGACAGAACTGAGACAGTTATGGGTTGGCTGATTCTGGAAAATTTTCCCCAAACCAGAACACCTACAGGAAGAAAGATTTTCCCTGTAACAGAACAGGTTCAGCCAGATGCCATTCGCATCCCATTTCTCGTATTATTCCAGTGGGAAAAGATGGAGAGCAGAGGCAGGAAACCTCTGGTTGAATTACAACAGCAAACCTTCCCATTTTTCAGGTTATTAAAATAAATTGTTGGAACGTTAATGGTGAAGCTCTGACCTCTTCCAGGTTTTACACCAGGCCTTATCGTGAAGCTGGGCACCGTTCTCAAGCTGTCCCTATCGCCACGGCTGCTTCTTCTCGACCTTCCTCCTCCCCGCGTCCACGCGCCGCAGCTCCCCGCGAGCGGGGAGGATTCCCGAGAAAAGGGCACGCCACAGCCCCTCGGGGCAGCCTGGGCCAGGGCTCCGTCACCCTCAGAGGGAAGAAGTTCTTCCTCGGGTTCAGCTGGAGCTTCCTCGGCTTCAGTTTGTGCCCGTTGCCCCTTGTCCTGTCGCTGGGCACCACTGGAAAGAGTCTGGCCCCGGCCTCCTGACCCCCACCCTGCAGATATTTAGAGGCATTTCCAAGGTCCCCTCTCAGCCTTCTCTTCTCCAGGCTGAACAAGCCCAGCTCCCTCAGCCTCTCCTCCTAGGAGAGATGCTCCAGTCCCCTCCTCATCCTCGTAGCCCTGCGCTGGGCTCTCT